TACCTACTCCGTACTGGGTACTCTATTACTGTTTCGGTCACCTCTCGGCTACTCAGAGGGCCTGATTCTAATCATACTATGTGATCAGTCAAACTGGGCAGCCTGCTTAGTAGTATACTAGCTGCAATGTATGTCTTGGATACATCCTGGGTGTAAATAATATTTATGACACAGGCTGATATGCTAACTATTAGTATACACTTTTCAAACAACTCAAGACGGTTCCTCAATCTTTCCTATTTTTTCTTCTCCAAGAGAAGAAGATAAAAACCCGAGAATACATGTCCAAGGAATAAAAGTATTCTAATAGGGATCACTTGACCAGGCTTCTCTACGGATCAAGTAATCCAAAAGTGACTAGATACTTCTGCATAAATAAATCCATCATGACCTCAGCTCCGACTTCTCTACGGAGTACTCTGTGCACCTTCGGCTGGCTAATGACGCTTGACTACGCATAAGCGCTTACAAGATAAGGAATAGACCTGCAAATCACACCAGGGCTGCGAGAAGGAAATGGATAGATGTTACAAGCAACATGAATCATGGTCTCAGTCAGTAGGGCAATGGGATAAGGTCGTCAGATGGTGTATAAATTGGGAGCGATGCCCGGTCTAACTTCTGAGCATCATCATCTTTGCCTGCATTTACCATGGTTACCCTAGGAGAGAGCAGTTTCGCGTACCATGGCTTGGAGACACTCCCTCCACCATCTGTCAAAGGCTCCCATGCCATGCAGGTCAAAACTTTGGTCAAGGACTATCTAGAAGGTATTCACTTCGATACAAAGACCCCATTTCTTAAGGACCATGATCTAGAGGAAGCGGTTTGGAGCTATGTCAAAAACTTGGATATGGGCGAGCAAGTGGAAAGATTGGCGCTCAAAAAGCTCAAAATTACCGTGACCCTTTCCCATCAGACGTATACGTCGTTTCCATTTGAACTCAAAGTCCCGTGCGCTATTCAGGGGTTGTACATGTTCCTCATCGAAGATAGTACTCCGGAGATGATAGAGGATTTGCAGCATTTTGGGCAGAAGTAATGCCTCTTTCCTACTCTTTATCCCAAATCCTATATGCTGATGACTTGTTTTAGCTTTGTATTAAATAAACGCCACCGGAGCGCCATTTTCAACAATTTCGACGCTCATCTACGCGGTCTAAGTCGTTACTACGGACCGCATTGCCATTCGACGATTATCAAATCCACGTTTGATTTCATTAATGGCCGCGTCATTGAACACGAAATGGAGCAGTCCGGATTTCAATTCTCCTCGGATACCCGCTTGATGCCTATGTTCCTGCGCAGCAAGGTTGGCGGTACTGAGATCCTCTTCCACATGCTTTGGCCGAAGAGCCTGTTCCCGGAGGAACAGTACCTTATGCATTACTTTCCTGTCGCACAGGAGATGGCGCTGTTTATGGACTTCACTAATGATATTCTCTCGTATTATAAAGAGTGCATCATTGGTGATGACAAAGACAACTTTGTGTCAAACTTTGGAGAGGCGCATCAAGTGAAGCCCTTGGATGTTTTGAGGAGCTTGGCCTTGTACATCCCGCAAGTGCGTTATCCCGGGAGTTGCTCGGTGTCTTGAAAGAATATCTAACGTGTTTTGACTTCAGGTGCTTGCCTCCGTGTATAGGTTTTTGGAGGATAAGGAGGACCTGCGGAAGCCAATAGAGCAGTTTGTCACCGGCTGGGTATTGTTGATGACAGCTCATCGGCGCTACCATCTGGTGGAACTGTTTGCAGACGAGCAGTATTTGCCACCCTACGATGAAGATGCATGATGCAGTGCCACCTTGGCTATGCTCGTCATTATGGATACAGAAGTTCAGAAATGAATCCGTTTATTCGGATGACATCGGCTATTAAAGAACACATTCATTACAGTCACTGGAATATAACCGTCGAACTTAGTTCCCCGAGTATCTAGTAGGCTAAAGATATACTACGTAGCGGTTGGTGATCGGGTCTGCTGGCAGAATAGATGAAAAAGGATCCAGACTTTTGAAGAGTCATCAAGGCGCAAGCCGCTTTCCTCGTTTAATATCCATTCTGCAGTTCTAGATGATATAACCTATTTGAACTGTGTGAATTGTGAAGGATAAAAGACGAGTGTAGATTACATTCCCATACCAAGAGGAGATATTCCAGGATGATTTCCGGCTGACACATCTGTGAATCTCAAATCAATAATCCCAGATCAGATCTGATAAGCCCATCTAAGGACCCACCAAAACCAACTTATCTCCACCCCGCCCACAACTTCAAATCTCCACAAGAATCCAAACACCACCAACACCACCAAAACCATGCCAACAAAACAATGACCCAACCAACACCACCAACCCCCAAAATGCGCCCCCAACTCACCCCCCACCAACTAACAACCCTCTTCACCTCCCTCACCCGCCCAACCACCCCCTGGACCCTCCACCGCACCCTGAAAAGCGACAACCCCCTCGACATAAACGGCGACCTCCACGGCACCGCAACCTTCACACCCCTCTCTCCCAGCACCCCCAACCAACCAAGAGACATCCTCTACCACGAAGAAGGCGAAATGCCCCCCCCACCAAACCCCCACACCCACACCGTCGGCATCGGCCTCCGCTTCACAAAGAAATACATCTGGCGCCTACACGACGGACAGATCAGCGTCTGGTTCGCGAAAGTGGGCACCGACAGCGAACCAGACTACCTATTCCACGAGTTCGAGTTCCGAGAGCGAGAGCAAACCCCCGAGGCGGGCTTCGTGGAAGCACCGGACCCGCCTTCTGTGCGCTCTGGCGCTGATACGGTCGTTTACAGGGCTAGGGGCAATCATCTTTGTATTAATGATATGTATCGCACGGCGTATGCTTTTCGGGTCGCGGACTGTGGGGAGGTGGTTAGTTGGGCTAGTCGGCATGTTGTTAGGGGGCCGAGGAAGGGGCAGGATATTGTTAATTTTTATGTCTGAGGGTTTCTGTTCGGGGGGTTTGTATGGTTGTCTTTTAGGGAGGGGAATTTATTGTATCGGGTTTTTTTATCTTGGGGTGCTGGTGGGGTTGAGGGTTAGATGTTTGTCTTGGTTTGTGGGTTGTTGGATGTGGGCTTGAGATTTGGTTTATGGGGTAATACTACTATGGAGGATGTTGGGTTGGGATTACTTTTTGGATGTTGTAGTAATAGCTTGGGTGTTTCTGGGTAGACTCGGGTGAATAAGGTATTGTTTAGGTAGAGTGTATCAGCTTTAACTGTAAGGTATCAAGAACCGACGTGGATTGTCTAGAGTACTAAGTATCAATGACAAAAGAGAGAACGAAAACCTGAACTATTTAAGTAAGGGGCTGGATGAATGATAAGTAAACATTGAGACTATCCGAATTGATGCCAATTGAAGCTGAAAACCGTTCGTAGTCAGTTTCCTACAAAGCTATCATGAACTAGGACTATAACGAGCTATTTATAAGGTGTAGATTAGAATGATCCCCGCACATCGTGCAACACCATAATCAGGCCATAGGACGTCGATTGTATGATGATATTGGGCCTCATGATCCCAGTCGCCGGAACGCTCGGATTCGGTTCCGGTCACCGGGCTGCATATTACCGCCGGTTTCCACAACAGCTGCCGCCAATCCCGGTCAGTCATGACTACATATTCGGCTCCCCCTTGAAGTGGAGAATGTCGGTCTCGACTGGAATGTAATAGTATATATAGTGCAGTGAGACGAGGATTTTCTTCCAGCAGTTCATTCCGAACTACTTCATAGAATAAGCAAAATGCCTCGAGTAGCTATTGTCACCGGTTCAGCGCGAGGGATGTAAGTTATGCCCTGCTGGTGTCTATGTGCTTCCGGTCGAGCTAAGCATTTCCTAGCGGAAAGAAAATTGCCCTCCGTCTTGCAGCAGATGGCTATTCGGTCTGTATCAACGATATCCCCAGTGCAAAGGATGACATCACCGCCGTCGTGGACGAAATCAACGCCATGAGTTCTCAAAATGAGACCTCTTCTTCTCGTCCCCGTGCGATTGGTGTAGTCGCTGATGTGACGTCATCCTCCTCTGTGGAAGCAATGGTTCGAGAAACGGTCGAGAAACTTGGTCCGTTGACGCTAATGGTTGCGAACGCGGGCATTGCGCAAATCAAACGACTTCTGGACGTCACCGAAGCCGACATCGACCAGGTGTTCACCGTTAACTTCAAGGGCGTGTTTAACTGCTACACCCATGCGGCCCGTCAGATGATCGCGCAGGGCGACCCACAGGCTGCGGCCGGGGTAGGGGTGTACAAGATTGTGGGGGCGTCGTCTATCGCCGGGTTCAAGTCGTTAGCAGCGTTAGGGATCTACTCGGCCAGCAAGTGGGCGGTTAGGGGGTTGACACAGGCGATGGCGATGGAAATGGCACCGCACAAGATTACGGTCAACGCATATGCGCCGGGGATCGTTGGAACGCCTATGTGGGATAAGATCGACGAGGAGTTGGGCGGGATTGAGGGCCGGGCGCAGGGAGAAACACGGAAAGTGTACTCAAGCAATGCGGCTCTTGGACGTACGAGTGAGCCGGAGGATGTGGCTGGGTTGGTTGGAGGATTCCTGGCGACTCAGGACTCAGACTTTGTGACGGGACAGACGATGGTGGTTGACGGTGGGATATTCTTTACTTAGAGGTCCTTGCTGATGCTACAAACTTTGGAGTCACGGGTCTGTTCTTCGCTGGTAATGGCCTGGTTGCGTTGAATACTACTCTCTGATATTACTATCGACAAAAGTGGACTCGACCGTAAAGCGAGGGAGACGCACAGTACAGCAGCATTCAATGATTCGCTTCGTAGAAGATAAATCATCGGCCAATAGGCGGTGTTTTCATAGAATTCCTTATCACAACTCGAGGTTGGCCACTCATGCATTTGTATATGTGATATTGGATGAGATGGACAGAATATCAGTTTTCTTTATGGTGGGCGTGGTGGAAGGTGTAGAAAGAAAAAAAAAAATAAAAATAAGAGCCCCCACGCGGGATTGAACCACGGACCTCCGCATTACAAGTGCGACGCACTACCACTGTGCAATAAGGGCGAAGTTGTAGAAACCACCTTTTATATTCAAATCTGATTCGGAAGGTAAGGAAGACTCACGCATCTATATCCCAATTTCCATGTATGGGGTTGAGTAATGGTTGAATCATCGTGGATCAACTGTGGCTTTTAAAATTTCCAGCAATAATGTCACTTCTTTTCTGTATGGTTGAACATCTATAAATAGTTTATTCTACTCAGATTTAAACCAAGGAACATATAAAGTTAAAGCCATAGTTCTACTCCCCAAAACAGTTTACACAGTAGAAAGAAAATAACCAGCTGAACTGAGTTCACTGTGTATAAAAAGGCACTTATAGATACAAAGTCCAACTCAGCATGAGCCAGGGATTTTCAACCAGTACCAGACTATCACTGAGTGCACATGGCTGACCCAGTGAAGATTAGCGCAACTTGAATAGTCGCTACTCCATGAGAGCGACTGGGAGGAGGACTCTAATCTCGCACGGGAGTCCAAAAGGTGCTCCAGTATTATTCCAAGAGGCAAGACACAACGCATGCGCAGCCAAAACAGCGCAATCCATCCACTCCTCCAATCACTGTGTTCTTATAAGTTGCTTCATAAAGTCTCTAGTTACCTGATGGTGGTGTATCCACCATCCTATTACAATTCTCTCCAAGTCCCGCTGGCAATTCCATCTTTCTATCAAACACATATTCAGTCCCTAGCAAACCTCCAAACAGTGCACATACATGTAAAAAAGAAAAAGGATTGCCCCCACGCGGGATTGAACCGCGGACCTCTGCATTACAAGTGCAGCGCTACTACGACTGAGCTATAAGGGCTAATCAGTCAGCCAGCCTGATGTATTTCTAAACCACCTCGTAAAGCGACACTTTACACTCAACTGTGGAATCTGTTGTCGACCAAATAGCTGGGAGAAAAGTAAGATAGTAAGATTCTTGAGTGCAAGAGTTCTCTAGCCTTTCACGGGTTACAAGATTTCCATCGAACAGTTCACTGAAGCCATCAAGTAACCATCAATCAAACTGCACCAAGCCATAGCTTCAAGATAGGGTCATTAGATCGCGAGCTTGAAGCGAGGTGCCAATCATGGATGCACATGAAATTATATGTGATATCCATGGATCATGACAAACATGCACATAGTTGGACAGGCGACGATAAATAAGCTCTCGGTGACAGGCGGAAAGAGTTGAACAAACTCGGATCTTGGCTAACCTACTGTTTGTATTTGGACAAGATCTGCAGGGTCTGGGATCGCCGAGGACTAGAACCAGAGGCTGTGCAGAGCTCTTGTGGAGAAAGAAGTTAAGCAGGCTTGGTGTCAGCTATGTGGCTATGCGTTTTGCATTAGGGTTGTTTAGTGCTGATGGATCTCAATGCTCGATGATACAGGTCGCTGTAAACATTCTGATGAAAATTCATGTAGTCTACTCTGTATGTGTCGGATTCCAGAGAGAAGTCATGAAGCTGATCCGACGGGTACAATACTGTAGCTTTTCCAGGGGGGGGTTCGACCGGAGGACGGAAAACCTTATGAGTGATTTCTTTGTGATGATGATAGAACGTCGTTCTGCACTACTACTTAGTAGATAGATACAGAGACTGAATATTGGTCCTCGGGACTGGTATCTCAAATGTCAAGCATATAGTTTAGGGTTCTTTGTCCCAAAAATTTGAAACGTCTCCCCCGCCAGGCATATAATTCCATTGTATTTGGGTTTGGCTACTGCCAAACATTCGGTTGTCTATTGCATTATTTTATAAGTAGTAAATGCAAGCAAGCAAGGAACTTAACATAGCATCTAATCTTTGCGATTATCTTTCATACAGCATGTACGAACTAAGCGACCAGGAGAAAGGTCCTTGCAGGAAGACCTCAAAAAAAAGGGGGTTAATGATCGGCATTCGGGCAATGATATACTTTTGTGGAGCTCAGCTATTAGGTGTTATAGGAAAAACCAAGAGAGTGAAGAGGTTCAACACGGCTGCCATGTACAGTACTACACAACAATCAAGCGGTAACACCGAGGCATTTAGGTCTATAGATGGTATATTATAGGTAGTATACTCCGTACGGAGTACTGTCCATGCATTTCAGTATCCACAACAATCACGGTTGTACCGGTATGTACGGAGTACTCCGTACAGTACATGGAAACACAAAACCTGACCCGGGATGTATGTATGTGCATACATACTGCATACATACAACAACAACAACAACAAAAGGGTTGAAGAAAATAAAACGACGATACATTCCATCCCCGGATTTCGCAGATCAAGATGTTTATCGAAGATCAGGAACCATGTGAGGACGATCCGTGGATCCTACAGTGTTAAGTAGTATGTACCTATGTAATAAGGTTACTTATTCGACAGGCACGAGCCAAAAATAATGTAGGGTCTGATTCGAGGAAATTACTAACAACCATTTCCGCTTTCCCCCTCATTTCTCGTCATCGGTGATTTTCTTTTTTCTTTTTTCAATCTTTTTTTGTTCATGTCTCCTCGGCTAAGGTACTACGTAGTACGACTAAGTGGAGCGCGGAATTATTGGAAAATAGTTGGACTGTTGGATCAATAAAACAGATCATATTGTGACCTACCAACAGCTACGCATCCGGTACGACGCAAGCGGACAGCCGGTAAGTACAGAGTAGTTGTCACTTGTAACCCTTTGCAAAAATTCCTGCGATTGAGGATACAAAAAGGCATGAATCGAGCTGTCAGTTGAGGTCAGTGGAATGACTTTTGTGAAGTACTAGGGGGGAAGTGGGTCTTTGGTATATTTCTTTTTCCAAATTTTATTTTTATTTCTATTTTTTTTTCATCATTTTACGGTGCTCTTTTCTTCAGGATCTAGAGAAGGAATCCATCCTTCAGGATAGAGAGATACGGATCATCTACATTCATATATACTCCGTATATCTACCATACCCATTGTAGTTTGGTAATAATGTATTACAATTACTATTCTGGGGTATCGGAGAGAGTGAAAAACAACATTTCTCTTCAATAAGTTCCAGTTAACCTCCCCTCAGGCTGCAAGCGGCATAGTTTAGTGGAGTGAAATTTTGGCCGGACTCTGGACTTTCTCTCTCAACTCTCACTCTCACTCTCTCTTTCTAGACCCTCGCCCGAGTTAGCAGTGCGTAGTGGCTTTCCCTTTTCTCGTCTACTTTTCCCTCTCTCTTTCATTCCTTCTTCTTCACTCCTCCACTTTTCTTCAACCAGACCCTCCTTGATCAACTTTCCCCTCATGACCACTTACACTTAATGGGAGGTGAATTCTTCACGATATAATTTCAAGTTCCTGTGTCCCTCGTTCCCTCGCCCTCCAGATCTTTCCGAATCTCCCCCCCTCCCCACCTTCGCCTCCCTTCGACTTTCGCTTCTTTCCTATATAGATAATGGTGGGTCGCTTCTTCCTGTGAGGTCTTCGTCTACTCCGACGAATTCCACCACACCTCTACAAGTCGTCGCCATGGCACGTTGGCCGTTCCCCTGGATTTCCAATGTGCAGTCGCCATCATGGCTCTTCCACCTCTTCATTTTTACCCTCGTTTTTTCGCTTTTCGTTCGGGCCGACGATGACACCAGTCTTTTGCCTTCCGCCGCCTCCGGTAGCTTTCCTTCATGCGCCTTAAGTTGTCCCATTCTTCAACAAGCCCAGAGTGCCTGTATACCTCCGAGTGCCCCACCGAACGGCCGTCCGACCTATGTCTCTTGCTTTTGCCAGTCGGCGTTGATCACTCAGCTCCATAACACCCCGGATGGGACGTGCACCGACACCTGCACCAGCGCCGCGGACCGCTCGATTTTGAAGACATGGTATAACGACTTCTGCTCGTCCGGGGGAGATAACAAGGGTGCTTCGCCAAGCGACGCCGCAGCGGCGACATCGACTGCGAAATCGCAAAATACCTATCCCCCTCCCAAATCCTGGTATGTACCCGATGTAATTTACTCTCCGCACTCTCTAAGGCTGCTTTATTGACTAGTTGTAGGTGGTCATCCCATTTTCAATGGGTTATCATGATAATTATCCTCATCGTTGGGTTCAGTGCCCTCACGGTCCTAGGTGTGTGGCTTAAGCGCCGCCACGATGCGAAGTACCCCAATCTCTACCACGCGGGGAGGGGCAGCAACAGCGGGCTCCTCTTTAACCGCGGACAAAACGCCAGCCCTGGTCCGAAACAGCCGGGGCAATTTATGCCGGCTCCAAGTCCGGTCAGCCATTCTGATTATACTAACACGGATTCACTTGCCAGCAGCTCTCGCACCGAAGTTGCCGCTCCGAGACGCACCACGTCACGTCTCCAGAAGACCCCGCAGCCCGCGGAAGAAGATGACGTTGAAATCCGTGAAGTACCACGGTGAAGGTTGGATCTTTTTTTCTCTTGCCGTGTTCACTCCTTCTTAAGCAGTGCCTCCTCGAACACCGCATCTAGCGGACCCTCCTGATTCGAGCGATTGCCAAAAGGCACCTGGCAAACTCCCACGGCTTAATGTAATGCCACCGATGCGTCTATTCTAATGTGTTCTCGATGGTTTCTGTTAATCTTGCATATGTAACCGGCGTTTGCGTGTTCGGCTGGTCTTTCCTTTTGCTTGTTGCTTTCCACTTATCTGGGAACATCTCACGTACAATTTCGCCGTACATGATACCATATGGTGTTGTGAATATGTCCTTTAGACTCCGTTCCATGACTTTGGCAGAACATGGATAGTAATTTTCCTCCTGGGAGGCTGGGTCGTTTCATTCGTTGCTCATATTTGCCTGGACATGTCTTTCCTTTTTGATGTCTTCCGTTTGCACCCAGCATGAGATCAATGAATTGCTTGCCTGGAGGTGACACGATACCGGCTGACTGTGTAAATTAGGTATCCTCGCCCGCAGTACAGGACATTTAATGTAATTTTGCTAGATCCACAAGATGTATTTTACACGGCCCTAAAACCCGGTGTCATGACAAGCATCTGAAATATATAATATCTGGAACATAAAGACAAGACCACATCACGCTGCAAATGCGACAACTTCCCAAAATCAAGACACCGTGATGCTCACGATCTTGATATCCTGCTCCGGCTTCTCCTTATACGTCTTCGTGTTCTCGATCCTATGAACGACGTCTAGTCCCTGCACGGCTCGACCGAAAACGGTATGCTTATTATCCAACCACGACGTCTTCTCAGTCGTGATAAAGAACTGGCTACCGTTTGTATTCGGCCCGGCATTCGCCATGGACAAAGTATACGGCTTGTCGTGTTTCAAACTGGAGAATTCGTCCTCGAACTCTCCTCCCCAGATCGACTCGCCGCCTGTGCCGTCACCCAACGGATCACCGCCCTGGATCATGAACTTGCGGATAACACGATGGAAGATGGTATTATTATAGTAACCATTGCGGGCATGCGTGACGAAGTTCTCGACTGCTTTCGGTGCGGCAGACGGGAACAGTCGGAGGTGGATATCGCCCATGGTGGTGTGTAGGATGGCGGAGGTTCCGAGCTCGTTGGATTTCTGGAGGGCGGTTTCGCGGCCGGTGGTTGTATGGGTGGGTTTCTCGTTCTGCACGTCGCGGGAGGATTTGGATATCTCGGTTTCGTTGGTAAAGAGGTAGAAGCGGACTTTGGCGAAGCCGCTGCTGACGAGGATCGGGTCGCGCTCTTCGGCTTCTTGAAGGAGGGGGTTCGAACTTGCGGCCATGGAGACTGTTACGATGCCTTTCTTTTGCGGTTGGCCTTGGTACATTGCTAGGTTGAGGGCGCGGAATGGTTCGTCTTTGCCGTATACGCGGACTACGCGGTTGGT